TGCCTGTTGTCCTTTACATTGTATGTAAATTTCATGATGAATGGACTAAAAGAACTGACCCAAAATATCTTGGAAAAAAGTCTGGTTCCATTGACTTACATTAAAAGTAAAAAAGATTTTTTCCTTCTCCTGTAAAGTTATCAATTTGGAGATAGGATTCCTTCCGACAACAGTGATATCTATCTATCTATCTATCTATCTATCTACATATATATATATATATATATATATATATATATGGGGCATATGCGTGACCCCACTTCCTGACATTGCATAAAAACAAGTTTTGTGTGTGTGTGTGTGTGTATGTGTGTGTGTGTGTGTGGTGTGTGTGTGTGTGTGTACACGCATTGCAAGGGTTCCTGGACGCTAGCAGAAGTAAAGCCTGAGCTTAGTGGGGCTTCTTTTTATAGGTGCCCTGTGCGCCAGAGGAGCTTCACATGCTCTCCTCTCAGCAGCTCCCAAGACAAATGACGCCCGCAAAATCTCTCTCATTGTTGCCTCGTTTTATTACTGAGGCTACCAGTGACCGGCCTCGGTTTAGTGAAGAACTGAGGTCCAGGTTTCTCTGGTGACGGAGCGCTCTGATTTTTTTATTAGCGTTGACTATTTTAAACCATTTTACTATTCGATGGCGGTTCTGAGTCCCGTTCACGTTTACAGTCCCTGGTAATGTGAGCAGTGTGACGAGTTTATCAGTCAGACTTAAGCTTACATGTAGGTATCAGCTGAGCTGCTGTTTGACCAGTAAAATCTCTGCAAGACTGGTAAATGAAGCTCCCGCTGGACACAGTGTCCGGATTTTGCCCCCAATGTTAATATAAAATGTCAAGGCACTGAATTCCTGAGGCGACGCGTCCCCCGTGCTGTTCTGTATGTGGGTTACAGACCCCTGGACTGCAGCCATTTAACAGAACACAGAACTGATCTCATGTTCAGCTCCAGTGCTGACCTGCGCACTAAGAAATCGAATGCAAATAAAGCTCCTGTTCGGTTGATACAAGTTCTTATATCAAAAACGTGTGTCTTTTGTATGAATGTAGAAATAAGCTGAGAGACGTTATGTCTTATTTTTAAATGTGTCTCCTTTGTGATAAAACTCGAATGTGGAGAGTTAAACGCTTTTAGTTTGGCCATTTGAGCCGCAGCTTCAGGAGCAGAGGAGGAGAACCAAGAGGAGTACATTTTTAGATTAAAACTCAAGCACTAAAACTCAAGCTGGAGAGTAACTAGATACATTAAGGCAGCCAGAAATATTACATACATTTGAGTTTATGTCTGCAACAGATACGACACAGAGAAAATAAAACACCGTTAGCCATATATCTGTAAATATGGTCACATTATCAAAGAGCTTTTATTTTGGTTGATAGGGAATATGGGTATGTATGACCGGAGTTTTACTCGTTTGTCCAGGAAACACATTTCCACACACATGAAAGGACAGTAATTTCTCTGGTATGTACAGAATATAATACTGTACTGTATAATATAATCTATGATATTACGTCACTGTCATAAAAAACTAACTCAGTTTTTTTTTACACCATTTGAAAATTAAACATATCGCTGCTGTCTGAACAAAACCTCATATCTCCAAAATGGTAACTTTACAGGAGAAGGAAAAAACATGCTTCACTTTTAATGTAGGTCAATGGAACCAGAATTTTTTCCAAGTAGTTTTGGGGTTTCTTTTGTTCCATTTATCATAAAATTTACAGACAATGTGAAAGGAAACAGGAAATTTCAAACTATGTCGATAAAAATGGAGATACGAAGTTTTGTTCCGACAACAGCGATATGCAAAAAAGTTCTAAAGTTCTCAAGTTGTACTTTATGATCCATGATATATACATATATATACATTATATATTATATATTATATGTTTATATATATATATATATCATGTAATAATAAAATTATATATTATATATATAATTATATATGTTCACCATATCTTGTTGTGAAAACAAACCATTTGTTAAACTCCAACTTTTAGGTTGAGGCTAAGTTTAGAGGCAGCGTACGTTTTTAATTTTAGTGTTATAAATTTCTGCTGTCGGGACAAAACCTTGTATCTCCATTTTTGTTGTTTTCTGTTTTTGACGCAATTTGAAAAAGGCTGCTGTCCTTTATGTTGATTCAACATTTCACAATGAACGCACCAACAGAAATGGACCAACAGAAATGGACAAAACTGCTTGTAAAAAAAAAAAAAATTCCATTCACTTCCATTAAAAGTTGAGAACGTTTTTCCTTGTTCTGTAAAGTGCTTTTTTGGAGATAAGAGGTTTTGTTCCGACAGCAGTGACATATTTAGTTAAACTGATAGATAACAGCATCTACAATGAAAAAAAAAATTATCATTACATTACAGCTTCCATTCTTTTCAGGAGACTCGCTTTTAGTTTCTCAAAGAAATCTGCAGACACACCTCCAAAGTTCAGTCTCTGAAGTTGGTTGAATTTTCTACTGCGTCTTTATTGTTAAATATATGTTTTATGCTTTTTTTGCAGCAACGTATACAGTACTGTAAATCAAATATACAGTCCACGGTAACAGTGTTAAAAAGGTGTTACCATTAAGTTTATGTTCTTTTTACCCTTTCATCAAACAATGCCCCCCCTCAAACACACACACATAGCAGAGTGGGACCACAGCTTGCATATGTGTGATTAAAACTATGAATGAAGACACAGCAATTCAGTTGCTCACTTCATCACAAACACCCTCCATTCAGATTCACACACACACACACTACAGACATCATTTCACACACACACACACTACAGACATCATTTCACACACACATACACACTCCTGTTCTCTGCTGATTTCTACCCACAGCAGCTCTGTTTGTTCTTCACAGTTTAAATCAAGGCTGAGTGATACCAACTAAAATTCACACAGCAGTATTTCACAATATTATCACAGTCACACAGCTGAGTGATGAATTTTCATTAAAACTGCAAGACTTAGGCTGAACTCGCCAGACGTGATCGCTTAATGAGGTCGTCTGGGGACGACCATGAGAAATTCTTCACGAAGGAGGAGCTTCACCCAATGAACAAGAAGCCTGTTGTTAGTCCATGGATGTCGTGTACGTTAGCAAGGCTGAAAAGTCCCCAGATAAACTCCGGTTAGGCATGCAAGTGTGTCTTGTCGGTGTGGAGAACACATTACATGCAGTTCTGCATACAGCTCTGTTACGCAACAACAGTGTTTCACTAGCTGGCTTGTTTTGAATGTGTTATCGATTGAACTCCGGACATTAAAACAGCTCAGATTAGAGGTATTTGGGGGTTAGAGGGAGCGTTGTTTGTGGCTTAGACTCATTTTAGAACTTGTTTTAAGCAGATGATTTGATGTGATCTAAAGAGTTTGGAGTTTTAGAGCCGGAGGAGAGGAAGAGGAAGAGAGGAAGAGTAGTGTTTTACTCTACAGTGAAGAGATTCACTACTATGGCTTATAAAAGAACACTTGGACTTTCAGTGCAACATCAGCAACCGTAAAAAAAAATGTGTGTTTGATTGTTTGCATGTTTTTTAATCACCTATACAGACATTATAGGGACTTTGTGCTGACCAGCAGGGGTGTAACATGGCGTGCATGGCGAGATTTTGATATGACAATGTAAAACTGACACAGTGCATTGTGGAGAATGGATGCTCCATTAGCACCAGTCAACGAGTCAGCGACTCACTCCTGCCTCCCAGTTCTAGTGTTGTTAATAAGCTATGCAGCAGGGAGATTACAGCCATCATATTTCTTCATTCGAGCTCAAAATGTCATGAATCGAACTGATCTACACTTGTTTACTGTGCAGGTTATACCTGTGTTTACGTCCACTGTCACTTTTTAAAGAGATGCTAATTGGACTCTTCTCACATCCTTCTGCTTTGAACAGTTGTACATGCACTCTAGATACTGTGGCATAATCATTCCGAATATATATATATATATATATATATATATATATATATATATATATATATATATATATACTATTTTCTTTTCTATAAATATTTTATTGGATGGATGCAATTTCATATTAACACCTGCACCAAGAGAAATTCATTGTGTACTTGATGAATAAAGATGGTTCATGGAATTATTAACATTTTAAACATTATTATTATTATTATTATTATTTTTATTATTATTATTATATTAATTTTTTATCATTTCAAAAACTGAGGCTACACTCATAAAAACTTAATTATGTCCCATTTTTCCTTTCAATAAAATAGTTACATTAAAATTCATTTGTTGACGGTACAAAATTGAAACAGTTCAGTTCGATGTATTTCAGTCATATTAGAATAAAAATCTTAATCTTTTAAAACATCAATCAATCTTCTTATCAATGCAGATTCAAGTGTACCGGACATTGTTCCAGGTGGGCTACTATTGTAAGAGAAATGAAGGATACAGAGAAACACTCCCATCACTGAGGGGTCCGTATACTGAGAGGCATCTTCATTATATCAATGATAAGTTATTCGCACATTAAACTGTTGTAGATTAAATCTGAGAAGAAGTTCAAAATCGGAGGAGTTTGCTTCACTGTATCTGTGTGACACCACATGTTTTTCTAAAGCAGCTGTACAGAAACATATGTAACTGTTTTCAGTTACGAAGAAACACAGCCTGAATCCCAGTGTTTCACTGTCATCTGGACGCGGAGACCTGCACTCTGTCCAAGTCTGAGATTTAATGGGGATTTTCTTCTCTTTATTTATTAAGCTGTCCTTTCATTTGGTTCTCTGAAACTGCCAACAAAGGCTTTTGTTTTTCAGGTGTAAGAAGACTTTTTATCTTCATCCTGAGTGAAAGTGAACTGAGGGCATGAAGCTGGGAAACATGAAGAGATGTTTTATGCTGGAGTTTGAATGGTTTTCTTTACTGCAGGGGTGTCCAAGCTTTTTTCAAAGAGAGCCAGATTGTACTGTGTCAAAATACCAGAGAGCCGGAATATTATTCACATATCATTCAAAACATTAAGGTTTCAAAATATCAGGACACAGAAGCATCAGAGCTTTCTGTGTTACCGTGTTTCCTATACTATATTAAGTATATTCCTATTCAAGTGTTTACTTATTCAAGTAAATTTGTGAGACAAACTAAACAAAAATCTATCTATCTATCTATCTATCTATGTATATATAGAAAAAAAAGTTTTTATTACTTTAAACTTTTTAAACTATTTTAACTTTCATCCATCCATCCATCCATCATCTAAACCGCTTATCCTTCTGGGTTGCGGTGGGGTGCTGGAGCCTATCCCAGCTGTCATTGGGCGGAAGGCAGGATACACCCGGGACAGGTCGCCAGTCCAAACTTTCATATTCAAATTTTATTGTTTTTTTTTTCAATTAAATTAGAAAATACTACTAAAATTAATTTAAATTAATTAAAGCACTCAGCTTTATTGTTATTTATTCAATCAGGCATCGTTGTTTGCATATAGGCCATTTTACTGGATTTGTTCAAATTGCAGTCTCACAGTAAAAACAACCCAAAAAAGTATTCAGACTTTTTATATTTACAAAGATTATGTTATGATCTATTTAAACTCACAGCATTAATAGATATAATAATAAACTAAAAATATAAATGACCATCATTTATAGTGTATTTTCTATTGTAAGTGTCTGTTCTAAACCCTAACCTCTAAATTTACTCTTGTGAAAATAAGACATTTCTTTAATTTTTTAAAGACATTTTTAACATTTCTTTTAAAGTGTCAAAAGGTTTAAATTTATAGTGACCTAAATATTTAAACAATAAAAATAAATAAATAAAAAAATACTTGACCCAAAAATTGACCCATCTCTGAAAATCAGTGTGGAACATTAAGAATTGTCCCTATTGAAACGCATATTTTCTGCAATCAAGTAAACTTTTTGAAAATGAAATGAAAAATACTGTGATTTTATGTGTGTACAACTGTTCAAAGCTGTGTTTGCTGGTCAGGTACTGGCCAGCATTTTTAGTTCAGCTAAAACTGTCACTACCGAAACATTACAGAAAGAATTTAGCTCAAATATGAAATACTGCCAAAACGCTGCACCAAACTGCCAAACAACAGACCGTCACAAGGAACCACAGCTCAAACACACAGATCATCTCCAGTTCGTGTTCTATTTTCCATAAAATGCAAACCAATGCAGACTTGAACTGAAAGGTGTAATTAAATATACTAACCCGCATGGTGGAGTCTTTACTGTACCAAGCCTTAACTTTAATCTAAGTTAATGTAACAAGATTTTATCCCTAGTTAAAAGTACTTCTGGACCATTTCTGTTGGTGAAATGTTTAAACAGTGGGGCAGCTGATGTTTTAAGATGATGTAAAATTGTATTACCTGGGTAGAAGTCTTTAGATTTGGACAGTTTAATGGTGGCGCCGGTCTCTTTCTGTAGCTGGACGATGGTCTGTCCTCCTTTACCGATAATTGAACCGGCCGCATAGCTGGGGATCAGCACCTTCAGGAAGTACTCACCCTCTTCTACACATACACACACACACACACACACACACACACACAAACACACACACACACAAACACAGACACAAAAGAAGAAAAAAATGAGTCTTCATTTCTACATCACATTTACAGAAACTGGGTAACACTTCATTCGGATGGTCCTCTGTAGATGCTTTGTAGATGCTCAGTATATCTTGAAGTAATATTCAACTGAACATCTACTAAACGTAACTGAACTTGACACTGAGTGTGGACGATTCCATCAAATCTATCCCTAACACTAAACCTAACACCAACCCTAACCTCAGGGCTAAACCTACACCTACTCCTAACCCTAACCCTAACCACAATGTTGCTGATAATCAACTGAACATCACCAGAACGTTTGTGAATGGTTTAAGTCTCTGTAGATCACCTATAAGGGACCATCCAAATAAAGTGTGACCCATAAACTCACTACTGGCTTCAGCAACATCATACAAGAATCAGTGGGATTTGAGGACATTCCCGCTCAGTCGTAATTTACCAGGGTGGAATAAACCACGGACGAGGAATGATCTGTTTCTCCTCAGTATCAGAACACACTGGAATGCACTATTTAGAGAAAGGGGGGTTTATAAATCATCAGAGACTCTCTACATGCTGAGGAAGACACTCTTTACTTCTTAACCTTTAGAAGCCCTGAGTGATGGTTGTCATTGGGCTCTACATTTGATTTATACTTGCCAAATTAATTAAGTAGTTATTTACACAGTGACTGGTCTGTGCTGGTAACAGGGTTTGTATTCTTTTTTCTCTTCGCTTTACCTTTTATTCGAAAATGCTGAAGCTCCAACTCTCACACTATTACTAGGTTTGCTTCTGTGTCCATTTCAGAGTTAGGAACCGTCTAAAAATGACCAGGAGAAAGTGCTGCCGTTACTGTTATTGTTATTATCTCTGTAAGTACGTCTGCGGACGCTTCCAGGAACATCACTGATAATCTTAAGCAATAGCAGATGTACTTACAGAGATCCTACTACTAATACTAACAATAACAAAAGCAACACTTTTTCTTGCTGTAATTTGTCAACCCTGAAGGCGACGCAGGAACAAACAAGTCTGAGTCGAAGATTAATCTCTGTCAAATGAAAGAACGCAGTAATTGTACGGTTCAGGAAAAATGGTTGTAGTTTACTGTCATCTTCTATTTGGCTTTAAAAGCGTAATTAATCTAGTAATACAACATAATAAACACACAGTTCAGTAAAAGTTATGGCTGTGGGGGCTCCTGATTGGCGCCGTCATCCGGAGAAAGCGAGTTTGATCTCCGGTGATGCCACAAGAGCTTAACTGGCCCCTCTCTCTGGGACAGTCTCGAGGGTCTGTTGAGTGTTCGCAGTAAGTGCTTTCCTCCAATGATGTAACGTAGGATGTAGTGGATCTTCAAGAAACCATGTGCTGGCCTTCAATAATGGTGCTACCAAGGTGGGTTTTGAAGGTGCTTTCTTGAAGCTCCACCACGTTATGCTACGTGACTGGAGAGGAAACCACAACTTTTACTGAACTGCATGTTTATTATGTTTTATTATTAGATTAATTATAATTTTGTGGCCAGATTATAATAACACTATACTACCACCACTTTACTTTGGCATTTTTCTGCTCAATTTAGTCATGTCCAATTTAAGGCTTGGCAATATGACAATTTCTATCATTATCGTGATAAATTACTTAAGAATATTTTACAATATGCTTCTTTGCGTATGTCATGGACATCATCAGTACTTAAAAAACACTGACCAGCTGCATAAGAGAGCATAATTTGTGCTGTTTAAGCCCTTAACATTCCAGGCTTATTACATACTAAGGCACAGTATTCAGTAACTACAGGGACTTAAATGCAAACTAATGGAGCTATTCTTAGGTTATAGAAGTGTGTAATAAAACTTGGTTAATTACTGCAGTGCAGGATGTGAAATGTTGAAACAAATCATCATATTCATTGTTTTTGACAGTTTTAAATAGTGGCATTTCTGGTTCTTTTTGTCTGTTCCAACATATCAGATGTCAGAAAAAATAAATATTGTGGCATATCGTGTATCATGGAATGTTCCTGAAATATCGTGATATTATATTTTTGCCATATCGCCCACCTCTAGTCCAATTACATCCACTAGTTAGAGTTACAGTATGGTGTCATCTTTAATTTGGTCACAAAATGTAATTAAGACGAGCTGAGACTGTTTTTCCCAGAACCCACAGCTGTTTTGTCTGATGTCTGGAACCTGACGCTGTGATCTAAGGATGTCCTAAAATGATATCTGCCTGCAACCAGTGCAGCACAACAATTTGATCTACTGTAGGTACAATAAATGTGGAGTTGTTGAACATCATGTCACCTTAAATTGTTATGGGTTCAGTCATGTTCAAATGTGGGAAACTTAGCATCTTGTAATCTTTGCATGAAGCAGATCAGTAAACAAATAACCTTTTTCTACAGTATATCGGTTAGCCGTTATCAGACACAAATTACATTTATATTTGATTTACATTCTGCATGGACAGGTTCGAGTCTACAATTCTGACTTCTGTCCATTTTGATTTCATGGTATACTTTTTTATGTAAAGGAATTTTTTTGCTAATAACTTATTATTGATTTTTTGTAGTTAGCATACAATCAATATTCCCTGCATAACACTAACACAAAGGGAACAGGAATGGAGGGTGGGCTAAAAAAAGGTCATTTATAAAAGTATCCCAACATAAGCAGTTTGTCGATGTTTGCATTATGTAAAGGATTTTTAACAACATTTCATTACATTCAAATCACAATAACAATAAAATCACAATAAAATATCGCCTCTTCTAATTATAGATACAATGTGGTATGGACTGAAAGTTTAGAAACTGCATGTTAGTTACAATGAGTGTGTATTCATGCACTCAATAATCCGATCATAATCTGATTTCTGCAGTTACCCAATTATTTAAATAGTCATGTAAAAACCATACCCCGGTCGAGAAATCCAATTAAGAAATCCGATAAAGAGAGCTGGGCTTTAACTCAGTAATCAGATTTCTCAGTGCATGTAAACTCTTACTCTGATTTCTATCAGATTTCTCAGTCTGAGCATGCGCGAGATCAGATGGTGGATGTCGCGAGACGCAGCAAAACACTTTTGGAGCGGCGCTGAAACCAAACATGAAATAAAGGATTTAAATATTCTTCATCTTCTAGATCATGTATGTTCATATTTTCAGGTAAAGTGGTGCAATGTTTTAAAAAACAACGCGGGATGAAGTTTGAGATTCACGTTACGTTTACATCACGTCTTCTTCTGTAAGTTTATTTGTTGGTTGTTGGCTGTAAAGCAGAAATCTGATTACTGCCTGACTCATATAGACCCAGAGTTTCCCATTATCTGAGCATGTAAACATGTTGATCGGATTACTGATTTTCTGCAGTTATCGGATCATTAAGTGCATGTAAATGAACTCAAAGTCTCTGCTTGTTCCAATGAGCTACGAGTGAGAAACAATTCAACAAAACGTAAGATGAGGCATTTCAAAAGGACCCAGAAGGGTTAACTTGCAGAGTTTCAAGACAGTACAAATGATAGCTGAGCGCGCCAACACTGACTCGCAGCTTTAAACCTAAAGGAGCTATGACAGATTATAAAACATCTCTCGAAGCAACTCCAAACAGCACCAGATGTTTTGAATTGTCGACATCTATGAGTAGATAAATACGCAGCACAATATGAGAAAGGAAAAGCGCTCACTTTCACTCACATGCAGCAAGAACATGATGTAAAATTGAACAGTGAGTCATATGAGGCCGTAACGAAATGCCTTCTTCTGGCTTATAATTTAGAGCAGCCTGATGTGTGGTGGCACGGCACGACCCCGCTGATGATGTTCTGAAGGGATCTGAGTGCGTGTGACTCTCATCAGAGATCGGTAACGTTGTAGTAAAGTTATGTAACAGTCCACAGGCCTGGTGTAGTTTATAGCTCTCCACGGGCCACGCAGGCTTCAAACTCAGCTACAGCATTACATCATCTACGCTCGAACGACAAGAGCGAACTCCACTGCCACACCAACACACTTTCTCAAGAGCAGATTGAGAGAGAACAAACGGAAATTTTAACCCCTTGGTATCCAGGCACTGAGAGTTTCTGAGTGAGTGGTTTAGAGTGGTTTGGTGTGAAACGGTTCAGATGTCTTTACAGTGGTGGTGATAGGAACCAGGGGTCGCCATGACTACAACACAAATATATCCATTTTGTTTACTTTCCAGAACCACCAGTGAACCTACACGTCGTCTGGGCTTTTATATATATTGTTGATGATGGTGAAACAGTGGAAAATCTGAAAGAATGTGTGTTTTTTTGGGAGACTATTTTTCCTCACAATGTCCTTCATGTGGGGCGGCACGGTGGCGCAGTGGGTAGCGCTGTCGCCTCACAGCAAGAATGGCCTGGGTTCGATTCCCGGCCGGGTGACCAGGGTCGTTTCTGTGTGGAGTTTGCCTGTTCTCCCCGTGTCTGCGTGGGTTTCCTCCGGGTACTCCGGTTTCCTCCCACAGTCCAAAGACATGCAGTCAGGCTGATTGGACTTGCTAAATTGCCCCTAGGTGTGAGTGAGTGTGTGATTGTGTATGTCTGTCTGTTTGTCTGTCTGCCCTGCGATGGACTGGCGACCTGTCCAGGGTGTATCCTGCCTTCCGCCCAATGACAGCTGGGATAGGCTCCAGCACCCCACCGCGACCCAGAAGGATAAGCGGTTTAGATGATGGATAGATGTCCTTCATGTACCCCTCCAACATAAATTGATGTTAAAAAAATATGTTTTAGGCCAAAATCTTCTCAAAACTATCATAAAACAATAAAAGTGTATTTATTCATTTATTGAATTATTTATAATAATGTTTAACCGAATCTATATGAATTCTCACTCGTAGCTCTTTGAAACAAGCTAACTGATCCTTACTGCATTTCAATACTATATTATCTTGATGAAATGTTGATCTTGATGT